GGGGGGGGGGGGGGGGGGGTATTACAGCAGTGAATCCCAGTTGGCAAATTGTTTTCGTTGTCAGCGATGATGACAGCGTGAGGTTGTGAGGTAGCGTGTCCGTAAATTATATAAAATTTTCTACCTCATTTCCTTTGGAAACAATACTAATTCGGTATCAAATCAAGTATAAAAACTCTTGTGACCCTGTTGGTATATATTTTGAGGATTTCGCTAGTGAATTTACGCATTTATTTGCAATTTTATTACCGTGGACGCGGTTGTCTGTCGTGTTGCAATTAGTATAAAATCAAGTATAAAGCTCTTGTTAGTATCAAATCAAGTATAAAGCTCTTGTCAGTGACTCTGTTGGTATATATTTTGAGGTATTCGCTAGTGGGCCCTGTGAATTTACGCATTTATTTGGAATTTTATTACCGTGGACGTGGTCATTGTCTTTGTGTTGCATTTACTGATTCGTCATTACTGCTGGCTAATTGGTCTTCACTGTTCATTGCACTTGTCTAACATTTTCTGTACTGTATAACGTACTTTGTTCCTATTATCGTATCAATGTTGGTGTTTTTGTGATAAAGAAAATTTCAATAATACGCGTTTTTATGATTTTGACCGTTGGAATTTTTTGAATTATTCGCATCTAGCGTCGTTCGTCATGGCAACAACGTTATAAATACATAACAAGACGCTCCAGGGAGCGAAAAGTTACCGGGGCGATGGAAATATGCAATTTTAAGCACAAGTGGTGCCACTTAAGAACAGCGTGTTTGTTTTTCCGAAAACATTGAATCTTGAAATTTGCAGTTTGCCTGGCAGTTAGCGCTAATAGTTAAAACAAGTACAACCATGTAGCAATGTTGTTTTAATAGTCATATAGTATACAGTATCTATCGTATGTGTTAAAATTATAAGGGCCATTCCATTTAATGTCCACCCCCCCCTCCCCCACGGCTAAGTTTTTCTGAAGGGTGACTCAAAAAGTTGTTTCTGAGGGGTTAAGCATGTCGGCATCCTTTGATCTCTGCGATTTTTCTGAGGGGTAAGGGGAAAATTTACAAATTTCTGAGGGGTGTTTTGTGTCGGCACTTTGATCTTTTTT